GCAAAAGGATTAAGAACCGGAAAGTCGCAGAGTATCTTGCCAGTTCGACATCGTTTTCGTCTGATTCAGCACAGAAAACATAATTTGGATGTCCAGAGCGTTTAGCATCGATGGCATTGACAATGGAAAGACATTGAAAATGTTAAATGTTTCATAACTTTTGAAGGATATCGCGAGCATCTGCTGCGGTTGTAAAGTGGCACTACTCTGCTGCGGGTGTGGCATCTCTTACCAGCGCCCACACAGCACAACTCTCATTTGCGTTGCTCCACATGAGCCTGCCCCAGACATTCCCGTCATTGGACACGTCCTTGCCTCAGATGCCTGCGTCTTTCGTCGCATTCCTGCTCGCCGCAGGCACGATGCTGGTGGCATGCAGCGCGCCCTGCTCCAGAACTATTCGGCCTCAGTGTGCCGTCCGTGCGGCGGTCGCTGGACGGGGCGGGGGCTGACCTTGCAGGACCCGTGGAGGTCGATAGGCGTGCTGCGTGCCGTCTGAGTGCCGCCGCACCTGTGGACGCGCGGCCGGGCGCGGCGCCGCTCCGGCGTGGGAACCGGCGCTGGGCGTCGATCGCGCGCACACCCTCGTCACGTCTGGCCGTGGGGTGGGACGTCTGGGGTGGGACGTCACGTCTGGCCGTGGGTGGGACGTCTGGGGTGGGACGTCACGTCTGGTCGTGGGTGGGACGTCTGGGTGGGACGTCACGTCAGGCCGTGACGGCACCTACACCACGTGTTGGCCTCTCGTGTTTTCATTGAGGATTTCGCTGCGGCACTGCCATTGAAACGGGACTTGCGCCACGGAGAGCGAGTTTTGCTCTTCCCAGCGTCAAGCGGCGTGTGGCGTTGATGAGGGCATGGTATTGGATACACGGAGCGGGTCAAAGGCCCCGTGAAAAGGTCACAAAGGGCACCGCTCGCAAACACGGCGATTTTTGGAGTGCGGTGCTGTAATAACCGGTCAAAGATGCTGGTTCACCCGTCGTACTGTGACTGCACAGTGACACTCACAGCTTTTTCCGGATGTCGGTGATCCGATGGGCGTACTTATTCCGCGGGGCTGGCCTGTCAGGCCGTCGCCTTGGCGCGTGCTGAGGTCCGGCTACAACCGCCGGCTGCCATGGCCAGCGATTGACGACCAGGGCTGGCATGAAACATACGTTTGCTCAACCCTGCGATCGCGATCGTAGCTCTTTGCCGGCGGCTTGGCAAGGCAGCGACGTCCATGAGAGGACGAATAATTCTGTAGTTAACATGGCGGTCAAGGCATTGATTTTCCTCCAGAAGGCTTTCAGGCCTAAGGGACGATTAGGTACCCCGGCATTCAGGCTTCCCACTCCACTTGGAGCTCCCCACAATATGCCCCGCATGCTGAGAGTTCGAGCGAGGCTTCCCACTCCACTTGGAGCTCCTCACAATATGCCCCGCATGCTGAGAGTTCAAGCGAAGCGTCAGTGGTCAGGTTTCGTCTTTGGATGACCTTCGGGTGTTTGTTGTTTAGGTGGTGGAGGGCGTTCGGGTGTTTGTTGTTTAGGTGTTGGAGGGTTTATCCGCGGAGAATGAGACAATTCTGAGCATTTTGCATACCAGTGGCAGTTATGCTTAATTTCAGACAGCGATGTTCAGGACGCATGCGTGTGGAGTCCATGATTTCGGTCAAGTCACGAACCTTTCAAACATTCAGGGTGATCGCGTGACAATTGACTTTTCCACAGCATGGACATCAAGGCAAGGAGCGTGGGACTAGCCCATGGGTAAGGGCTACAGGGCAGAGCTCTTGCATTTTGCAGGAGCTTTGTATCCAATACTTTTTCTCCACAGGCTTCCTTTTTTGCCGCTGTGTGGATCAGCTAATGCTAATTTTTCACTTCCATTTGCCTAATGCCGTGTCCCAACTGGATGTCGTGAAATGTCTCCATGGCTTCATTAGTTAGATAGTCGCCGAATTGGTTTGCTGTGTTTGAAATCATCCGCACCTAGGGCCAAGAAGCTCCAACTGGCTCAACTTTGCGTCACATACCTTTTGTAAGCTAACGAAGCGGGGCTTCTGTGCACCGCCGGTGTGTTTTGGCACGACAGCTATTGTGCTAACGGACGACTGTTGCCTGCCTGCTGTTGGTATCCCATGCCAGCAGTTTTGGCAAAGTTAAGTGATCGCTTGCTTTGAAGATCTGCGTTCACCACAGCGCAAGGTATACTTAGCATGAGCGGACGCCGCGTGCGAACGTGCCGGCGCATGGGGCAGTGGGACGCGGCGGCGGGCGCTCGGCGGCCGGACAGGCTCCGACGGGCCGTACCAGCGAGCCTGGACCCGTCAGAGGATGCAGTCGGGGGCGGCTGAGGCGTCTGCTGTCGGTTCGGGGGCCGGACCAAAGTCTAAAGTGAGCAAACAGACAGGCCCTGCTCGCCAGGGAGTCACTGCAATGCACAAACGACCAAGCTCATAGTTATAGGTCATGAAAGCGTGCATTGTTTGGTGTAAGCTGATGAAGTGTGAGAACCACGATTAATGCAAAACAGGCAACAAAGAGTGAAATGTTGTTTGGCTTTTCCAGTGTGGCGCCCCTTGACATGAGCCGCCCGTTTTGCCGCAACTGCTGCGACAAGCTGTTCCCGTCTTTACCACCGCAGGAATCCAGCAGCATAACGGACTACAACTGAGCTGCTACCACGCCAGGGAGCTTGATAATCACAATGACACGGCAAACACTGGCCCCTCCTCAGCAAGTCCATATTAACCTCACCATCCAAATGATTGGGCCCAATCATGTTATAGGGATCTTAGAAAGCGCAAACACTAAAAAAGTTTGGGGCTTAGTAAAAAAAAGAAGTTTTGTTTACCAGGGAACGTTACGGAGCACTTGTCAAACATTCCCAAAGTTGTACACCGTCGCCCCGTCCGCTCCTGTTGTGCTCTTGCCTCCGTTGCTATTAGCATTCACGGATGTCCGCGGCTTCTGTGGACCATATATTGCTTGGTTGTCCAGCACTTGATTATCCAGCTTGATTATCCAGCTTGATCATCCACGCGCGACCGCTCCCTTGGGCAAACCCGTGAGATTGGTTTTATTAGTTGGGACCGGGCTAGTCCGCTCATTTTTTTCTGAAGTCGACGAAAACCACTTTGTTTGTTTTCGGTCAGGTCCCGCTAATACCCTGTCGACAGAGAGTGGTCTGTTTTGATTGGTCGGGGCTGCCAGCGCCTGGCGCGGTGGAGGCCGCCGATTGGTTCGGGTCTCAATATGATGACGGCGCCAGCCGGCCGACCGTCACACCTGTCACGTAGATGATCGGAGTCTCGCCGTGCTGCCGCCGGCCGGCTGGTACCGCCCCCCCCCCCCCTCCCCCCCACCAGCGGGACGCCACGGCCTCGTGGTGCCCTCCCGGCACGACCACTGAGGTGTCATTGGGCCGGTGATCGAACAACCATGGCTGATGACTCGGGGCTGATGCCTGTTTCCTGTGCGTGCGATGACGATGGGTCCTCGGGGAGTCGGCAGGAAAACGCACCTGACGTGTCGTTTTCGAGTGCACCACCACGGAGCTGATGTTCATTTTCACATGGGTAGAAGGGCACCGCCTTCCGCCCCGTTTCCGTGATCTGCCGTCTCCGCTACCCGAGCGGCCACTCTCCGATGACGTGGGGGCGGGGAGGCGGTACAGAGCTGATCACCGATTGGCGTGCCTGGACCAATGCTGGCAGCGATTACATCCGAAGATCATGCCCTAACGACTTCCGCGAATGGGATCCCGCTGCTGATGAGACCCAACCAATGACGTGACGGGTCCGGCCCAGTTAGCGCGGCTCTGCTGGCTGTTGGCGGGAGCCCGCCCCCCCCCCCCCCCATCCCTCCCTCGCTCCTCGCACCCCAGCGAGCGGGACTGGCTGCCGGCCGGCGCAGCAGCGTCACAGGCTCGGCACTCGGCCGCCGTATCGCGTGACACCCGCCGCTGAGTGCGCCACCGCGCCACGTTCGGGGAACGGGGCCGGAGTGGGGCGGCGCCAGCACGGGTTGAGCCGGCTGTACAAACGGACGTGCATGCACACGTGCAGGGGGGCTCGGCAGGGCGAATGGCACCGTGCTGGTGTCGGACGCTGACCGCGTGATGGCCAAACGGTGACCAAACCAAACCAAACAGACTCTTAAAAATGAACCTCGGTGAACGTTTCAAATGGGGGCAATATCATAGGGCCTGCAATGCGATGAGTCCCCATGAGGCAGTTAAAGTACGTCTTGGTGCTATGGAGCGCAGCTGAAGACTGCTCTTGGAAACTGAAGGGACGACCATTGGCGGATCGAAGGGGAGGGCGGGGGGGGGGGGGGATGAAGCCATGTTTCCAGACGAAGCGGATAGAAGAACTTCCTCCCGCCAGGCTTATCTTTTGGCCGATCCTCTTATTTGAGACACGGTATTCGGCACCATTCCAAGCATTCGATGTTGAATCCTCTTTGATCCAACGATTGTGAATCATGTATGCGACGACACGTCAAGCACCAAGGACAGACCTTTGAAATGGATATTGGGGGAGGGATATCGTGATGTAGTGACGGCTCATCGCAATATATCACCTCTCCGTAATGCCACTGTGTTTAAACGGTTACTATGGGCTCGTTAGTGTAGACGTCAGGCGAATTAATTCGTGTTTCAGAGTTCAGCGCACGGAATTACAATTACGTGGGGAATAAATGGCGGGCGGCGGAGTGAGGACATTTTCGTTTGCTCATTTGGCTAATAAACGGCTTTAGACCACTACCGCGCAGTTAAGGCCAGGCCGTCCCCGCCAGGGTCTGCTCATTGCCTGTTATAAAATTCCTCAGCGCCATCTGCTCATGCCATGCGAGTGGTGGGTGTGCTGGGATGTTGTACACGCGTAGCAGCTGGTGTGAACGGCCGAGCCCAGCGGCCGTCAGGACGGACCAAGACTCCGCTGTAGACTGCTGTCGCGCCGACCGCGGCCATGCGGACGCTGCTGACCACGTGTGCTGTCCGTGCCGCAGTATGAACAGCCTGAGCTTCGACACCAGCGACTCGCGGCCGGTGTCAGGCGTCCGGCTGGTGCCACTCAACACGCGCGGCTTCTGCAAGACGGCCTCGCCGCGCCAGGAGTCGTCCGACGGCGTCACCTTCCCCTCGCTGCCCGGTGGGTGTCGGTCCAGTATGATCTTCCCCTCACTGCCTGATGAATGTCGGTCCGGTGTGACCTTCTCGCTGCCCGGTGGGTGTCGGTTCGATGTGACTTGCCCCTCGCTGCCCGGTGGGTGTCGGTCCGGCGTCACCTTCCCCTCGCTGCCCGATGGGTGTCGGTCCGGTGTGACTTGCCCCTCGCTGCCCGGTGGGTGTCGGTCCGGTGTGACTTGCCCCTCGCTGCCCGGTGGGTGTCGGTCCGGTGTCACCTTCTCTCGCTGCCCGGTGGGTGTCGGCCACGCGCCTGCTTCTCCGTTTGTTCAGACGGGTGGGCAGCGGGCGTCTGGAGTGGAGTCACTGGCGCCAGGTTGTTTCCCCGCGAGCGTGGAGCCGTCCGTGGAATAATTTTGGGTCCATGGCAGGGTTCAGCTGGGCTGAGACGGGAGTAGTGGACTGAGGTGGGAGTGGTGGACCGAGGCGGGAGTGATGGACCGAGGCGGGAGTGATGGACTTTGGGGGGGGGGGGGGGGGGTGGACCAAGGCGGGAGTAGTGGACTGAGGCGGGAGTGGTGGACTGTGAGGGGGGGGGAGGGTGGACAGAGGCCGGAGTGGTGGACTACAACGGGAGTGATGGACCGAGCCGGGAGTGGTGTGCGTACTTTGTATAGAATACTGGTGAATAATGGTGTACGTACTTTATATAAATACTTTCAACTCGTGCTGCAATTCTTAGTGCGGACCTTTACTCCCCCCACTCATGCCAGCTTAAGTGAGCCTGATATTGCGTCTGTTCCATAAAAAGCGTGCTGCGTGCCTCTGCAGGTGTCCGCAACACGGACGCCAGACACGCCTGAAGTGGAGCAACTGCGGAACGGGGAGGACAGTGCACGCTAACCATCGGGCATTTGCTGAACTCCCACACAAGAGAGTTCGGTCAGCGTCCTTCACTCCATACATTAATACATGCATTAGGCTGCCACCTAAGTGGATCCCATGGCACATGAATTCAAAATGGGAGGGAGTATTTCGACGAGTGTGGTCGATGCTGCTTCTATCCATTTTTAACAAGTTGTAATTTTGGTAATCATTTGGGGTTTAGGTCCCACCGACTGCCAGGGCCATTTAAAGACGAGATGTCTTATTAGTTTCCATTTGGGATGCGGTAGTGGTGGGGCCGGGACCTGAACCCAGGACCGAGAGGTCTAGAGACGAATACTATCCACAACGCCACCATCGCTCCATTTTTCTCACCTGCTGCGGATTTTGGGAAAATTGAAGGCACGACTACGGGCGCGGAAGCACGTTTCCGAAATATAGGGAAGGTGTTTCAAAAATTTCTACACCGTGTCATCATTTGCGCTTTATTTAGTCATAATTTGCTTTATTCACACTATTTTCACAATAACGATCGCAAAGGAGCCGGTTCTGGTGTACACTTTCCCGACACTCGATGTCGTGTACCCACACATTGTCGACATGATGGCAGGCAAAGTAGCCCTCTCATCGAGCGTAGGCCCCGGGCCGCGATGAGGCGGACCGAGGAGCAGACTACGTGGCGGACGCACCTGCCACGCTTACCATAATACGGCCGAAATTAACCACTGAAGACAGAATAACGCGACGGCGAACATTGACACATTTGAAGCATTGCCAGAGTGCAGACTGAAACGTGTGTTTGCATGCTGGGCCACACTTGTCAAGTAGTTGGAAGGCAACATATGCGCTAGTTGACTCCTTAGTCCTTTCACGCCGCCCCGTTGATCACAAAGCCTTGTTATATAGTATCGATCAAGCTGGCAAAACGGAGAGCATGTTCTAATCTGCAGGTGGATAAGTCACAACTCAGATGTGCCCAGCTGCTGGTGGACTGGTTTTGTTGGCTGCGAGTGCGTTTCAAAAGATTAACCGCTTAAATAGCGCGCTTACGGGCACATGTTACGGACTGACGTATTTATTGTTGCATTACGGGTGATATTTTGCATACTCGTTAAAAATGAGGCTTTCGTATTTTCGTTGGGAAGCATTAACTTGAAAGGTCCGTTGTAATGTGGTTCGTGGCAAAGTTCGTCGTGAATATGATGTGGCGCCTCAAGCTCGGCATCAAATAAACAGACAGGTATCCACGCTCGATGAGCCTATAAATTGCGTGCAATTTTAGGATAGCTTTTCAACGACTGGTCTACTACACTATGAATTGGCTAACGTGCGCGTGCGTTTGGATTTGAGCCGCGGACGTTTCGCTCGCAACGGCCTTGAAATGTTCAGCCAGCACCATGGTGTGCACGGCTTGGTAGAGAGGTCATCGAATACAGGACTTGCAGTAGATGGGCCGATGAAGCCATCCGAGTCCTGTGAGTCGGGTCAAAATGCGCTCTGTGCACACACGAATGTTAATCCGCGGCAATTCATCACGTTGCATCTCCGTTCTGTTATCGGAGAGCATGGCCTCCCCACGAGTCAGCAGTCCCACCCAACTGGGACCACCGCGACTGCGGCCACGCAATCACGCTGTTTATTACGCGGTCAGGCTTTCCCGGAAGGCTAGACCTGCGGCTTGACGTTGCTCCAGACTTTAAAAAGGAGCAAATGAGTGAGGTGCGTGACGCCCCGCGGCGTTGTTTTGGCGGCGGTGGCGGAGGCGGCCGTTAACTGGTGGCGGCAGCCGTGCACGGCGGTGGCGTCAGGGCCCCGCTCGATACGTGGGTCCCCGCGGCGCGGCGCGGCAGCGACGTGTCGTGTGACACCGGCTCGGGGCGGCCGGCCGCGGCTGACCGGCCCGGGGCCGGCCGGCCCGGGCCGCCAGCCGCCGCCCGGCCAGCCAGCTCTCTGGGCTAGTCATCAATGCGGTAGTGATGTCGGTACGCTAGCGGCCCTCCACCTTACTGGCGACTACCGTCCTCAGTTAGTGCGGCGCTGATAGTGCAAATAATTCAGCACGTAGAAATAGATTAGGACTCTCATGTCTTGTTTTATTTAAAAGTATGGGGCGTTGTTACGGGTTGCATAGACGTGGTGAACTTAGGTAGTATGTCCACACCATTTCCTCCGTTGAGTGCTTGCAGAACATTCAAAATGGAGCGTTCTGGGCCACATTTCCCACTCATCGCTGCCTGAATGGGCATGTTTGTTCATTAGTGGGATCATGCAGTGAGACGTCTCAGGCGGTGTTTTGCTTTTATTTTGTCATTCATTGGGCACATTTTACTGTTTGTGTCGTGGGAATCAAATTACTTTCAACAAATTGCTTCTCCTCGACAATATGTAGCGGAAATTTAGCTTCTCTTAACCGATTGCCTTTCCCCGACAAGTTTTATTGCTTCATTGTGCCTCTGCGTAATTTCGGGTGACCTCGTTTTATGGTCAGTGAGATTTGGCGTATTGCATCATGAGCTCGGAAAGGTGGCAAATGAAGCCGGCGTGTGGATGAGCAGGAAGGCAGGCCGATCAGCCACAGCCGTGCACGGCAACCGCAGGAGCGGTCCTTAGCGGGCACTGCTGAGAGCTAACTAGCTGTCATACGAAATGTTCAGCAGTACTCGCTGGCTGAACTATCAAGTCGTATCCAAGCACACATTACAGATAAAGTTAACAAGGATCAACAAAACCTTCGGTGATGTTAGTCTTGGAGCGGTGTCATTTTAAGCTCTCCGATTGGTTGTAGGTTCACATTCAACCTGCGGCGTTCGTCCGTTTCAGTAGCCCCTTGACTGGTGACAGCACCGGCGTCGATTGCGTGCCCCAGTGACGGTCGGTGCCGTTTCAGATGCAGTCGGCCGGCCCGGCAGCTACCACCTGCCGTCGCTGACCGGACACGAGCGGCTCAATCGACGCCAGTTCCGGGCCGCTTCCCTCGACAAGCGTGAGTGATCCGGCCGCGCGCAGCGAGCGGCACAGCATCCTCGCAGTCTGGACATAGCCACGCATGGTAGTGGATCTAATGAACCGTCACCAGCTTGGCGCTGTACGAGTCATCGCTCTTCGTCCCCCCAGAATGGCCTCAGGTCGGGCCAAGTCAGGTCAGGTCAAGCCATCCACCTGGCTCGTAGGACGTGACGAAACGCGTGTCATGTCCACAGTCCATGTGATCGGGTGCCGTGCTAGTGACAAACAAGCACGCGGGCATAATGAAGCCAGGTGTGATGTGTTGGTTTTGGTCCAAGTTGCTGGCAAATGTATCGCTATGTGACCAGCGTCCTTCTGCATGGGCCTTGGCGCCCTCCCACCGATTGTCAGCTCCTCCGAGGATTTGGCTGCGGCCTCCTCGACGGGCTGTGGACTCCGTCTACGGCACCGCTGCCGTCGCGCGGCTGACTCCTGTCCGTTCCCTGCTGCAGTGCCGGAGGAGGGCGAGGAGCTGATGGCAGCGGCGCTCAGCTCGCGCAACGCCCACAGCGGACCGCGCGAGCGCACGCGGGCGACGCTGGAGCCGAGCCCGCGGCCTGCGCACACGCTGCCCGGGCTGGCGCGACCCGGCGAGCCCATCACGGTCCAGCGCCGCATCGTGGAGGCGCTGCGGCCGGCGCCGGAGCGGTCTGCGCGCCCGCCGCCGCCGCCACCGCCGCCCTCGCTCCAGCACCGGCTGGAGCTGGTGCTGTCGCAGCCCGAGGACGCCGGCGACCTCCACCTCAGCGACCTGGAGAGCAGCCAGCGGCTGCCCACCGAGTTCTCGCGGCGACCGGCGGTGTCGGCGCCGGCCTCGGCCGTCGCCTCGACCGCCGCCACGCCCGCCGACAGCGACGCCGAGCCGGAGCCGACCGACGACTTCGGCTGGTCGCTGTTCCGCAAGAAGCGCGGCATCCCTCAGGCGACTGGAGCACGGCCGGCCACCAAGGTGGTGCCGGCTGGGCCGCACGCTCGGCCACGTCTTCAAGTGGCCTCCGACGCGTTTGAGAGCAAGCCGGCGGCAGCAGAGGCGTCGGCGGCGGCCCCGGAGGCCGGCGCCCGCCTGCACCCGGACGGCGCGCCGCTGCGCCGGCCGGTGGTGGCGCGCCGCGGCCGCAGCTCGTCGCCGCGCTCGCCGGCCGAGCCGGACATAGCGTACGCCGAGAGCCGGCCGGGCAGCGCCGTCAGCGATGCCGGCGACGCCGAGCCGCGCTCCCAGGAGCAGCAGATCCTGGCGTTGCTGGCGCGACTCACGCAGATGGCTGACGACGGTGAGTGCGGGCAGGGCGCTGCGGTCTAGCATTCGACTTCTGGTCTGGTCTGGTCTGGTTTGGCCCGGTGCGGTCCGGTCTGATCTGGTGTGGTCTGGTCTGGTCTGATCTAGTCTGGTGTGGTGTGGTCTGGTCTGATTTGGTCTGACAGTGAAGTCTGATCTGGCCTGGTCCGGTGCGGTCCGGTCTGATTTGGTCTGACAGTCAGGTGTAGGCTGACCTAGTCTGGTCTTTGGTCTGGTCTGTCTGATCAAGGCTGGTTCTCGGCCATTCAGCTAGCCGGCTGTCCGCCGACCGATCGGGTCGCCACAGGGAGCCGCTAACCGAGCCGGCTCTCCAACTGTGACAGGTTAGAATGCTGCTGAGAAATACGTGCAAACGGATGCAGATGGTGTACTGGGGGTATATATATATATATATATATATATATATATATATATATATATAATTTTGCTCCTGTAGTCATGCGGCCACGTTTGCAGATTCTGAAAGCGCCAAATTGATTACTTTGGTTTCAGTTGTCGGTGTTTTTATCACACCTCATCTGCTGCGTGTGTTTACAAATATCTTAGCCGGAGGCTTTTAAACCACACCTTTACTGTTACGCGCGATCAAAACACATCCATGAAGCCCTGTTACTACTCGAAAAATCACTAGATGTAACGGTGTGGTCTTTTGATCCTTGGAAAAGATCTGCAAAATTTTAATCTGGAAAAAGAGGACACAAACTAACATAAAAAACAGATATGACAGAACTAACTGTTGGTCTCGGGATAAATTATAATGTCGTGCCTTCTGATGGTCATTTTCCAAGGCTTACCAGCGTTACAGAGAAGTAAGATGCTACCCAAACAACGCCCTGGCTACCGCAGTGTCTGGCAAACCCTTGCAAAATTGACTGTGTTTTGGATCGTGAGATAAATATAAACTGATGGGCTAATGTCAGAAAAGGAGAAAATGCATTTCCACTTAACAGCCAAAATTATGCCACTTGTGGGCATCGCATTAGTCACAGCACGCTATCAACTGATAACAAAATCGGCTAGTCGGCGTTAGCCCTGGTGATGTCTGGTCAGTCGGTTCTCATGCCTGTTCGTATGTCTGCCATCTGTCTGTCTGTCCTGTTGCTTGGCGTGGCGCGAGTACGGCAGTACGCGCCTAGTGCTGTCCCAGGGCAGCCGTCCTGCGTCCACACTGATACCACGCCTAGCCGCCGCGCGCCCGGCCTGGCTGGTGGGCCCGGCCTGGCTGGTGCGCCCCCACCAAACGTACACGCGAATCGATGCGGTCGCCCTGCGCGATGCTGTCAACTCGCCGTAGGTCGTGCGTCTGCCTACCAGCCGTGTACCTGCCCAGCTCCGGGCGGCGTAAGTGTGCGGCAGTTATTCTTGGCGCGTTCTCGCGTATCGAGCCAGTGCTGAGCCCCTTCACCGCATGGATATGACAGACAGGACAGACGAGGCCTTTATTTGGATTAGCTCATTGTGGCAGCGCGGGGAACAGACAGCAACTCGTTCATTGTCGTCGGGAAATGTTTCTCACAATCAATAACGCAAGCCACCACTGATGGGTGACTGATTGTCAAAGAAGCGGTGTCCGGCTGCAGCCTAGCGGTCCACTGTGACCCGCCGACGGGGGAGGGGGTGGGGGGTGGGGGTGGGGGGGGGGGGGGGCACCGGACGTAGTGGCGCGCCGTTTGCCGGTAGTGTCACCGAGAGAAGCCTGGCTGATTTGGCGCGCCCTAGTGAGTTTGCTGCGGTCTGGCTGCTTTGCTGCGGTCCGGCTGCTTTGCTGCGGTCTGGCTGCTTTGCTGCGGTCCGGCTGCTTTGCTGCAGTCTGGCTAATTTGAAGAGGGCTGACCGATTTGTTGCCGTCCGTCGCTGCAGGTCCAGTCGCACGGCCACTGTGAAGCAGGGTTCGGTTTAAGTTACGGCCGGCACTCACGCAGCTCCGGCCGGAGCATGTATAACGTTACGACCGCTGCCGATGCCACGCTCGGCGGCAGTGAGCCGCTGCCGATGCCAAGCTCGGCGGCAGTGGGCCGCTGCCGATGCCACGCTCGGCGGCAGACAGTGAGCCGCTGCCGATGCCACGCTCGGCGGCAGTGATCCGCTGCCGATGCCACGCTCGGCGGCAGTGATCCGCTGCCGATGCCACGCTCGGCGGCAGTGAACCGCTGCTGATGCCACGCTCTGTGACAGTGAGCCGCTGCCGATGCCACGCTCGGCGGCAGTCAGTGAGCCACGTTTAGGTACATCTGCCAGCCACGATCGCCGCTAGGCCGCCGAATTAAGCCTCTGCGCATCTGGCCCCGCGGACGACGGTGGACGGCTGCCGCGGCGGGCAATCTGACATGTCGCGGGCCGGCGGACGGCCGACATCTGCGATGTGTCTAGCGTGTGATGCCGCCCGCGGCTGACACAGCTTAAAAGGCGATTCAAAGGCCAGAAGCCACCACTAATGAAGGGCGCGGACGGTGTGGGTGGGGGGGAGGAGGGGGCAAACGTCAGGCTGTACGCATTTGAAGCTAAGCCATCACTGGACGAGGAACTTGTGCGATCCTCCTGGGGTGCTTTCGAAATGAATTTAGAACCACCGAAAGCACGAGGCTTAAAATTCGGCACGCGGCAATATTGAACACAATTCCTGAAAATACGAAGGCGATCCCGCTGATGAGATATCGTGAGTGACTTTTCGTAGGCAGTGGAAGGTACGTCGGTAGCATTTCACGTCCAGACGTTTGCGAATAGACGTTTGTCATACAGTGTGCATTTTAAAGCAACTGCGTGGATCTGCGCTATCTTTCCGAGTCTAATCGCACCATGTCGTACCGAATGATGGTGCGTTTTTAAAAGCATTTTGCAGTTTAGGTCGCCCAAGGTCAAGCCACGTAAAATGTATTAAAAGAAGGCGTATTTGAGAAATGCTGTCCTACGTCGCTTGCATCGTTATTCGCGCTCTGCTCTGCAGGCAGCATGGTCGGCCCTTCGAAGCCAGGCACGGCTCTTGTGACCGGATTTGACTTGTCTCATCTATAGATGGGTTAGTACTGACACATGGCACGGTAGTCAGGGTCCGTGCAATGTCGTTTTCGTCACTGTCATTTATCGTCAGGACTCACACATGGGTCATTAGATATGCGAGAGGCCTAAATTCGTCATTTATCCCGGGTGAAATCACCTTGACCGGCCAAAAGACACCTCTACGGTTGTTCAATGACGATAAACCGAAATGGTTTTACGCGGGCTATTCGACGCCGTTTTCAACCTGGGTCTATCTTGATCTTTGAAAGCAGCGGTTTCACAGGTACATACCTGGATAAAGTTGCAGGCACAGATACGGATCCATGCAGCAGCAGAGCGGCTTTATGATGACACTGGCTCCCTCCTGTGCCACGAGAGGGAGGCACGCGCATCCGGTGGTCTTTGAACCTGTGACAAGTGGCTGATGCCTGGCATAGGAGCGGTAACTGTGGTGCCGTCACCGCTGTCAGCAGCACCTGGTGCGGGACTGGTCGTGTGTCCTCACTTGCGGCGTCGGGCGCGCAGCCGGGGTCTCGTCGTATACTTCTGTGAAAGTTTGCACCTGTCTTACAAAGCGAGGCAAAGCGCCCACTGTTCAACATGACCTGCTGGGGGTTGATGCGCAACAATCCTGTTTTGATCAAGAGTTGTTTGGACGTGGCCCACCTGCTTCACTTGTTGAATTATCGGCGTAGCATTCTGGCTTACGATCGGTTGCCAAGTAGCATTTACGTCAGCAATTTGTCGCGGAGCTCGCTGCGTGAAAAGCGCACATGTTTGCTTTCGTAGTTAGGGTGATATACACCCATTTCCAGGCGCGCTATCAGATATCGAACGTTTGCTAAACGTGTGCATTTATCAGAGTGGTTTCCATTGGTGCCAAAACGCAGTGCACCGAGCTCACCCGTACAAACACGCACCGTAAAGTACAGGAATCCTCTGCACATCGAAGCGGTGCTCTACGGCCTTGCCTCGGGCCGACAATACAGTTAGCGGGCCTGAATAGCATTCTTGAGCGGAACTTTGCACCGACCGTGCATTTAAGGTTATGATTAGGTAATGGTCGCGGTCATAGGGATACAATCTGCCAGCCGTGAGCATCGCACCATGTGACTGTTTGCGTTGCCGGCCTCATCGCTTCCACTGAAGTAGTCCGGCGCGTCCGTGTCGTGCTGGATCGCTTCCCCACGGTCGCTGTTTGGCTTATGTGGCAGGCGCCGACAACGAAGAGGTGCTGACATCTGTCGTCGACCTTTACCAACTGCTCGCGGAAACCAAGCACCTGGGGCGCAGCTCGCCGCATCGCATCGCCGCGCTGAAGACCATCTTCCGGTTTGTGGACCGGCAGCACTCTAGGCTGCTAGTCCACATATCGCGGACCATCCTGGCGGTGAGTCCGCAGCTGCCGCCGCTGAGGTTGAAGTGGTGCTCGGTCTGGTGTACACCGGCGGACTTTCCGTCTCGCGGCACTGACCTGCCACCATCACCCAACCTTCTGTCGTCATTCACCGCTTGCTTAGAAGCGTTTACGTCCGTCGCCTTTCCTTCATTTACGGCTTGCTTTCGGATCCTCGCCACCTGGCGTGGCCGTCTATCTGGGGCAAGCCGCGGCTACCAGCCATGAGCGGGCTGAAGGCCCCGTCCCCCCCCCCCCCCCGCCCGCTGGCGGGAGACCCGTCCGCCCACCCGCCCGCCGCCCGAAGAGGGGCCCGTGCGTGTGGTCAGGCTCGGCAGCGGAGGCCCCCCAGCTGACCGCAGCCTGGCCCTGTCGCTTGGCTCTCGCTCCATTGCCGCAGCCCTGGAATGTCCGTGGCTAACCGGCGCGGGCTCTGGTCTTAAAACCGTGCCGCTCTTAAATGCTTGCGATGCGTGTGTTTAGCTTCACACCAGGCGACACTGTACTTAATACAGTATAGTGTCGCTCGGTCAGGAATATCAGTCGGAAAGTCCAAAATGTTTGGTCTTTCTTTGGGGCCTGGAGCCTGTTGGTGACAGCATCTGGTTTGGAGCCTTGAATTCAGCCCTTGGCTGGGCCAAACGTGCGAGGAATTAAAGCTGTTTGTATACATTTCCCGGCTAGTATTGGTGAAAAAACATGCTGGTAGGTATGCCTTGTACCCGAAAGCATCCTGGCCTGCGAAGTAAGATTGCTTTACAACGCTTTCTATTTCAGCTTCTCGTCAGCGGCAAGAACTTGATTAATGTTTGCAAGCTGGTTTTCAAAGTTGCGCAGGAAGATCAGAATGATTCACTCTTCCTGGAGGGCAATATTTTAGGTAAGAACAATATTTTGTTGATAATGTTCAATGCCATGCTTCAAATTTTTGGATTGTTGAAGGTTGTTAACGCACACCCTCGACCTTTGTTTATCGCCGAAGGGCATTTACGCACACCAATAATGGTAAAATGATCGCATTTGCCGTCATCTACGAAAAGCACGAGCCTGCAGCGACAGATCGGTATTACCGACCTCGCATGGTCGTGGATCCTGAAACGGCTCACACCCCACGCGGAGTGAGTGTATGCTGCTCCGCCGGCAGCGGGCCGTCGCCGGCCGCCATTTCGCTCGCCTCTTCAGTGTGGGACGTGCCCCAGCCGTGCGACCCTATGCTGCGCGTCGGGTGTCGCCGCCCGGGGGCCTCTCGCCGTTCACCGTGCGACCCTGTGCTGCGCGTCGGGTGTCGCCGCCCGGGGGCCTCGCGCCGTTCACCGTGCGACCCTGTGCTGCGCGTCGGGTGTCGCCGCCCGGGGGCCTCGCGCCGTTCACCGTGCGACCCTGTGCTGCGCGTCGGGTGTCGCCGCCCGGGGGCCTCTCGCCGTTCACCGTGCGACCCTGTGCTGCGCGTCGGGTGTCGCCGCCCGGGGGCCTCTCGCCGTTCACCGGCGCCCAGCGCGAGCGACGGCGGCGAGGCGCTTACCGGTCGGCTGTCGGTCCGCCAGAGCACCTGCTGGAGACGGTCGGCCGCAGTAGCCCGCTGGAGGACGGCGAGGCCTGCGTCTACAGCTACGGCGCGCTCAAGTTCCTCACCATGAACGCCACGCTGGTGTCGCGGCTGATGAACCTCGGCATCCTCGACCTGGTTGTGCTGCACATGAAGCTCATCACCACCAAGGTACGGCGGCTGCGTGGCTGGCGCTGGCGCTGGCGTTGGCATTGTGGGGCTGGTGCTGGGATGGTGCTGGTGCTAGGGTTGGCGCTGGCGCTGGCGCTGGGTCTGGGGTTGGCGCTGGGGCTGGGGCTGGGGCTGGGGCTGGGGCTGGCGCTGGCGCTGGGGCCGGTGCTGGTGTTGGTGCTGGTGCTGGTGCTGCTGCTAGTGTTAGGGCTGGCGCTGCGCTGGGGCTGGGGATGGGGCTGACACCGGACTGAGGCTGGGGCTAGTGCGGGTGCGGATACGGATGCGGGTGCGGGGGTGGGTGCGGGGTGCGGGGTGAGATTGCTAATGATATCGGTGTGAAGCCGGGCGCGTCTAACACCGCTTTGGTATCGATGACTTGCTTAAAACAGTAGAACACATTGTATTCCAGCCACGATAAGATCCCCTAATTCTCTAGACACGTGCCGCATGTTTGCAGACAGCTTGGACAGCCCGTTTTAACGCCCACTCTTTTGCGCTAGAGACGTCACGTGTCGTGCCACCACCCACGAACCCAACGCGACGACACGAGTGCCAGCGCGCTATCCCGTGTGCCTGACCCCCGGCAGAAACTGGAGAGTAAGCGGGTGTCAGAGCAGACGGGCCACGCACTGTACCAGCTGACGGGCGTGCTGCGCAACCTGGCCAACGTAGAGGCGACACTGCCACAGCTGGTGTCGTCCGGCGCCACCCGCGAGATCTGCAGCGTGCTGGCGCTGTTCTCGGCAGACATGGACGTCATCTCTAACGTGGCCCGCATATTGAGGTCAGTACCGCGCCGCAGGATCATGCGGTCTGAGTTCAGTACCGCAGGGCAGGGTCACATGGTCTGAGGTCGGTACCACAGGGCAGGGTCATGTGGTTTGAGGTCAGTACCGCGGGGCTGAGTCGTTTCCAGCCTGGACCGCGTCCTCAGGTCAATGCTGGAGGTCATATGTTGCCTCCAGCGTGGCCTGCGTGCTGAGCTCGTTTCGTGCACGTTCTTAGCAGACCCCCAGCCAAGAGTGGAGTAAAATGGCATGTTGTGTGACACATGAGCCAATGCGGATGCTTGTGCCGGAAGGAGCAAGTTGCGGTGCACCAGTGTAGGTCTTGTGGGACGCGGCGAAGGACGCGCCTTTAAAGCTGTCCGCGATACATGCGAACACTGGCTATATTGTCTGCAAACCCTGCCGGCACTGGAGCACACTGGCTGCTTAGCGCGACAGCAACATGCCAGAAGCGCCATGGCCTCTTGGGCAGTTTCTGTGGCTGTGCAGTGGTGGAGGAATACGGACAGCGTTATGATAAATTGCTTCGTTCCGGTGCTCGGACTGCTGGGGGCTGGGGTTGACGCCCACTATTTGGTCGCGTCCCTCGTCTGTGTGCGAACCGCCGGCCGCTAACTGCACTCTACGGATAATGGCTGAAGCGCCAGCGGGCGCGCCCAAACGGGCTTCCCGCCTAAGCGGGTAACTCCGCCTGACCTTTAACGCCCAGACCTGCCGGCAAACAGTGACACGCAGCGGGCGGCGGCGGCTGCTCGGCGGCGCCTGTTCCGTTGTGACCGCGGAGGCGGCTATTGACCGATCGGTTCGGCCGCCTGTCTGCGGTCCGCTGAAGCCGGCGTGCGCTCCCATCGGCGCAGGTCCTGGGGAACGCGCCAGCTGTGCGCTGCCAGGGACGCATGGACGACGGAACGGCCGTAGGCGGAGGGCCAGACGGGGGGCGCTGGCCGGGGGAAGGACATGGCAAGCTTCTAGGCGTCTGCTCCCCCCCCTCTCTCTCTCTCTCTCTCTCCCTCTCTCTCCCTCTCTCTCCTTCTCTTTTCTGCAGTTGGGTTTCGCTACCACTCCCGAAGTTTTCGTGATTGGTTCCTTGCCGTTCCGTAATCATCACGAGGAAGAAAGTCTAAGACACGGAGACGTCTGTTCAAAGCCTCACACGTCAGGCAATGGGGCTGTTTGTTCGTGCATAGTTTTTTATATGCCCATCCACCGCTGTCTTAAATGCCAATCCATCATTCATAATGTTTGTCCACCCATTACTTTTTTAAAGCCAACCGCTGTGTTTTGGTCCGAGTAATGTCATGTGAGTGGCAACCACAGCTCAATAGCTTCGAACCTACTCAGTGCGTTAGGCGGTACTGGCTTTTGCAGCTGCTGGACGGACTAGGCACGACTGGGGCAACACGCTCAATGTGTGAGGCGGTACTGGCTTTTGCGGCCGTTCGACGGCACGATTGGGGTAACACGCTCTTTGATCTTAACGGATCGAAGCGTCATATCGTTTCATGCAGGCTCTGAAGATAAAAAATTAGGAGCTGATAAGCCGTTTCGTCTTGGACATTCGGAGCTTCGATATTAAGTGTATATGGGGGCTGGTGGGGCCGGGCGCACCGCGCGCCTTTCTGACGCGTGGTCCATACACAGCTGGGGTGGCGGGAGGGTGGCGCCTCCGCAGGTCCTGCCGCCAGCCGCGCCGGGCCGGCCGGCCAGGCCCGGCTCCTGCCGTTGCGATGGGGATCAGCCGTGTGTTCCGCCGCCGTCGCTCAATAGCCGTGTGTCGGGCGCCCGATGGGCATGGCTGGTGCGCCGACCAGTATGGCCCGTGTGCGGCACAAACGGCGCGGCGGCCCGTCTGACCCTGGACACAAACGGCGCGGCGGTCCGTCTGACCCTGGGCATTCCTGACCCCCGGGAACTGACGGCCTCGCACAGGCTGTAGTGGAGCTGGTGGTGCTTGTACAGTGTGCAGTCGATGAGGGGAGCTGACGGCCCTATGGCTGGCCCAGTCACGAGCGTAGCCAGGTGGGGGGGGGGGGGGGGGAGGGGAGGGAGTGGGTCTTATCCTTCCTTAGTCAACAATTCGACACTAGGTGCTGGTCGATTTCGCGGGCATTCAGTCCAAATTTCGTGGGAGGTCGGAGAAATTTGGCATTTCTCCTGAGAAGGTTTTAGCTGTCTGTCTGCCTTCAGCACGGCCCAACCTGATACCGATAGCAGCCCCGCACAGTCCTGGCTTAGACTAACCATCTCTGGACAGTGTGGCCCGGTACAGCGTATGTACACGCCGGCTGTCAGAACCACGCCAAACGCCGCTTGGAACTTTCGTTAATTGCAATCGGTCAAAGTGGGCTAGGCAATTAAAATGTTATGGGTTAATCCGTCAGTTCCTCGAAATTGACGTGGACCTGGATCTCCGGCATTACCATATCACTTACCTAAACCCAGCGGTACACGAGCCGTTTTACTGTTGTGCTTCGGTTTTCCAACTTTGCGTACTGACTTGACGCCACTTGAAAACTAGCAAGCTGGGGTGGAGCTTTGTATTTTTCCAAAGAGGCCGCCCCCCCCCCCCCGCTCCAATGTCGACCCTCCTTCTCCCCAAATATCACGGCAACTCAGTGCTCAATGCGCTGAGGAAAGATCCTGGATAAAGTGGTCTGGCCTATGCCAGACTATTAGGAGAATAAAACCACCAAATTCTGCACAACTATTACGATGTTTGCGTGGTGTTACAGCGCGAGACAAGTTGTAAAAGTGGTAGTGTTTGAAATAGTGCGATTGTATTGTTTTGGTTGAGATATTTTTCATTGGAATTAGAACCCGTGGGCAGATAACCCAGAACCCAATCAGTCTGATGTCGGCTAAAAATAAATCTGCCTAGCATTCTGATAAACATGTGGTACGTAATGAACACAAATTATCGCGTTTGACATTGCCACGTAATTTGTATTCGTGTTTGACCTTACAAATATATTACCGGCAGGCATGTGTCTGGCTTCTACTGTTGATTTCTGGCACCCTGTTCCCCTCGACAAAACGAGGCCCTGGGTCCCTCGTTTCGGCTGGTTCTTTCATTGCCACCAGATTACCACTTTCATTACCACTTTCATTTCATTACCACATTTCATTACCATTACCATTTCATTACACCGTGGTTCTTGGGATTACACGGGTTATTTTGCAAACGCCAAGCTTTGGCTCCTGGTTCTCGCTGATTGTTGCTAAACTCAACATACGATTATAAAGCAGGCCGTTGGTGGTGGGCAGCGCCAGGAGCGGGGCCGCATCTCAAGGCCGGGATTTCTCGCCGCGTAGGATGAGCCGGACGGTCACGTCGTCCGGCGCCATGACCAGCGCCAGGAACGTGAAGCCGAGCGGACGACATTCTGTGACGTACGGACACCCGTAGCTCGGCCCGTAGCCGCGGACAGGCGTGACGGCCCCGGGATTGTAACGCCGTTAACGAGTGGGACGACGCCCACCTGCGGGCGCAAGGCCAAGCAGGTCCGGAGCCAGCAGCATGCCACTGCTGGTGTCACACGGGCTGGTGCTCACGCCCGGTGAACAGCTCTGTCAGTTTATGATATTCAGTATATTGAAAATGATATACTTCCAAGATGGGTTGAGTGGTGTTCGGTCGTTTTTCATACTCTACCACATCCCATGACACCTATCACCCAACCAAGATGATGCTTGACACCAGACAGTGCACAGATCACTGACACAGCCATACTTCCCATAGCAATCCCTTAAATAACGGCCAAGAAACATCACCTCATTGTTAAACTCATCTGAGTCAACACTTATCAGCATATGATGGCAGATTCCCGATGCCGACGCCCACTATGGTTTCAAATCCCAAGCCTTACCTCGATAATTTTGATTGGGACTGTCATAGAACAGCGTCACATCACTGTGTCAAATAAGCCGTTGAAGCCAAATGAGCACCTCCAATAAACATAAACGGCATGGAACTTGACAGCTGGGTTTCATTCATTCTTGCCAGTGCCAACTCTGAGGTAATCCGAAATTCTACGCTTGAAATCAGTCGGATATCTCTTGCAACACCGGAATTTCGCGCACTACCGACCGAGGCAAGAACAGCGCTCAGTACGAGCTTTTTCCCGATGCCGCGGGGTTAACCACCACGGCAGCCGAGGTTTCACGGGGCTGAAGCTGTGACGACACCGATTCCTCTGACTAGTTATAGCCTTAGATTGACGTCCGAATTCACAGCAGGGGTTTAGAAACAGCGACACTTTTTGTCATGCTTTAGATACTGAGAACACCTAACTGCGCACGTCTGTACTTATGGTACACTTCTATCCTTCAAATAAGATTGGCTGAAGTGGCACGCCCACGATTGCGCCCGGGAGGTGCCAGGAAGCAGACCCCCCCCCCCCACCCTCTGCGTGTCAACATTCAGCATTCAACATCCTTCATCGTTTCCCTATAGCTCATCCACGAAAACTGGAATCCATCACACGCGCAGACGCCCCCACGCACCACGTGCGGAAAGGATGACGCTCCAAGCTCAGTTGAAAATTCGGGAGAAAAGGTTGACGGTCTCTTCGTTGACGGGGGGAAATATATTACAGGTGAATGATCCAGTTCATTATTTTCCACATAATTTGGTTCACTGTTTCGTTTGTTCAGCGTTTATCCGTTAACGAAACATTCAAAGGGTTCATTGACCGATGCTCGGTTGGGCGGACTCGGACCCACCTTTGGCAGTCAGTCAGCCATGGGCTTGTGCACAGTGCTGTTTTCTGGGCTATGGCAGTCGCGAGACCTCCCTGTTGTAATAAAGCCGAACCCCGCTGGGCTTTTGCTTGGCAATTAACTGGGCGTTTTAGAGACCTTTGACATGGTGGCTGTGCTAGCCTGTATTGAGGACAGCCTGGGGTTGCAGCAGCGATTGAAGCCCACGGTGTTATTGTGCTTCAGCGTCGCATGGGCCTAACTCAGTGGGCGCTTTTCACGACGGTAATGTTGTTTAGACCAGGCTATTCAGTCTGAATACTGGCGAGACGGAACACGACTTATGGCTATCTGACTTACGAAGCTGCGTCACAACTTACCGCTGAACCAGGTAAACAGTCTCGCCAGTTCGACTAATACACGAGCGGATGTTTTATGACTTAGTCTTGTTCCACTCCCAACTGCATGTAGATGATGCACAGAGCTGAGCTCCTTCTCATGTTTGCGGGTACTAGCCGCAAGTTGGCGAGATTGTGGCGCGGCGTCTCCGCCCGCTGATCAGAGCGTTGACAGAGCTGCCGGCCCAGCTCGTCTGTAATGGAGCGTTGACAGAGCTGCCGGCCCAGCTCGTCTGTAACGGAGCGCTCGTTGTCGGCCGCCGCTGCGCAGTATCTGGGCCGTCGCGTGGCGGCGCCGGTGTCCTGCACTCTCGGCCCCACGCGACAAGTGGGGCCGCTCGAGAGCGCTCGGCTCGGCCCACCGACATGCCGACGGCCCTGCAGCTCGCCGCGACCCGGTCGAGATAACGACAGCATACGGCATATGCTCGTCACAGCTGAGCTGTGGTAATGGTGCGTGGTCCTGCATAGACACGCTCAGGCTAACGTCTCTGCGTCGCTACGGCGATTGGCGTTTGGCATCGGTGATTAGCCGTAGGAGGACCGGCCGTTTGGCGTCGGTGATTGGCCGTAGGAGGATCGGCTTTTTGGCGTCGGTGATTGGCCGTAGGATGATTGGCCGTTTGGCATCGGGGCTCTCATGTCGTCATGTGGCGTGACGTCAACTCGTTATAACGCCAGGCGCGTGGTGCTTCCCCGCGCCCTGTTATCTTGCTGTCGCGCGTGCCCCGGCAGGGGCAGGGGTGCCACCCCCACCGTCCCTGGCATCACCAAAGGCAGGTGGTCACACCAGAGTCAGAGTCGAGTGAGTCGCCGCGCTTGCTACAAAGAAGAAGAGAAAATAACTCAACAGGAGCGAGCGATACCGTAAACTCATGGTTCCGCCGCACGCCCGCACGTCATGGTGCCCACGGCCTCGGTCGGCGCGAGCGTGACGTGAGGCGCCCGCCTGACCGGCGCCTGTTGGCTGCAGCATCATCTCGACGCACGACGCGTGCTGCGAGCAGCTGGTCAGCAGCGACCTCAGCTTCCGCGCCTGCATCAAGGTGCTCAAGAAGTACCCCGGCGCCAACGCCATCGTGGTGCGCCTCGGCTACGCGCTCGGCAACCTCATGGCCCGCTCCGAGCCGGCCCGGGTCAAGGTGAGGTCAAGGTCGTGGGGGTTTGCTGGTGCTGGCGGCGGCCGAGGTCAGGGCGGCGGCGCCTGAGCTGGTGGAGGTCGGGTGGGACCACTGTCAGGGGTGCTGCGATCTGAGCAGGCCGCGGAGGTTTGGCGCCACGACCGGTCTGATGTGCCAGGTCGTGTTTGGGTTGGTGGTCGGACGGGACTGGGTCTGAGTGGGCTGTGTGGGACCCTATCAGCGCTGTGAGCCATGCAGCCATCGGTGGAGTACTCTGCTCGCCTGCTGCGGCGCTGTCACATTTCGAGCGCCCTCAGGTACCCAGACGCTCTGCGGGTCGATGAGGCCCAGATTGATTCAGCCTGATATGTCATAGCCTTTGGAGTTGGACCGCTGGTATGGGAGACTCAATGATATCAATCAGCGATTTGTAGATAAAATGGGGCTTTTGACCTTCACTTCAATATTCCACATTCATCCATGTTCAACATGCAATCACATTTCGATATCTGACGTCTGATAGCGTTCGGTAGCGCACCGTTACACCGCCTGCCTTCAGGACGTATGCGGAAATATTTATGACTCGGAGCAGGCGCCAGCGCTGCCCGAGCAAACCAGCCACATTCCAATCCCCGATCCCGTTTGCCCGACGTCTGCCCGCCAACTTTTCTCCGCCGGCTGTGAGACCGGCGACCGAGTCCGCGTCCTGACGGCGCCGCGCTGGCCGCCGGCAGTTCTTCAAGGAGGCCGACGCCCTGGACACGCTGCTGCACCTGCTGGAGCTGTACTCGCGGCAGACGGCCGCAGCCCGGCCGCCGGAGCAGGCCGAGCCGGCGGCCGACGGCGCGCCGCCCGACCCCGGCGCGCTCAGCGGCACGCCGGAGGACGTCATCGTCAAGGTCTGGATGTCTGGGTCTGATGTCTGGGACCGGCGGGGTACGGGGCTGGTGGTGGTGTCACCGGCGGCGCCCCAGGAGACGTCATCGCCAAGGCGCGGCTGGCACGGTGGAGGGGCCAACGGATTCCCTCACCGTGCGGACTGTTGTGCGTGGAAACCTGAAGACCTTGAAATGCACTGCCGTGTTTTTGTGGTCTGCGTGTCGTTCGCTAGCAAAGTGAGGCGGTGTTTTTCACGCCAAGTGCGATGGCCAGGCGAAATCGATTCAGCCCAACGTAATTGGGAACCAGACCTTGCTTCGAGTCAAATTTACTTATCAAATCGCGACTTGAATCAGCTGATGATTCAAGCACGTTGGCAAGGTTGGTTCTGACCTTTGAATAAGACAAAACGCCATGTTTTCGGGAATCGAACTGGAGTGACTCAAATGCAATCAGACATCGCCAGTACAAGACCACGTAGCAACCACTTGGCCGTAACTTCAGAAACTGGCCATGCCATCCAAGGAACCTGTAGACTGCTAATAGAACGGGCGGAATTATATGTATTGCACTCATTTTGGGGGGAGGGGGAGGAGATGGTGAATCGGTGCAGCCGAACCCGATGCGACTTGAATGGCGAATGTTTAGTACTCAGGCACATAGTTACCGGATAAACCTCAGCAAAGCAAAGCCTATACCGCTCTCAAAGTAAGCCCAGTGTGCGGCGACCGCAGCCTGACTCGGGCCGCTGGCGCGGCTCCGCGCGGTAATGGCGGCCGATGTTTCAGCTGGTGCGTGTGGTGGCCAACATGGTGATCAACGAGGAGGTGGGGTCGGTGGTGTCCGGCTCGGCCGCGTGCCTCAGCGTGCTGCTCGGCGTCCTCCGCACACATAGGTCAGCCGGCAGGCGGTGGCCTCGGATAGCACGCAGCTGGTGACCTCAGACAGCCAGCAGCCGGTGACCTCAGACGGTCAGCAGCCGGTGACATCAGCCGGCAACCAGTGACCTCAGACAGCCAGCAACCGGTGACCTCAGACGGCCAGCAGCCGGTGACATCAGACAGACAGCAGCCGGTGACCTCAGACGGCCAGAAACCAGTGACCTCAGACAGACAGCAGCCGGTGACCTCAGACGGCCAGCAACCGGTGACCTCAGACAGACAGCAACCGGTGACCTCAGACAGACAGCGCCCTCAGACCATGGAATGTCTTTCCGACATTATAACCGAGGCTTGGCTTTGACGGGGACCATTTGCAGGCCACCCGGCGAAGGGCTGGGCTGGTGATACATAGCGCGTCATTGTTACGTGTACAGCTCTCGTCAGTTAGCGAGATGGTCGTCTCAGGTTTAGCGGGAAACTTGAGGGAAATATGCGGGGAATTCGCGCTTGGATCTGTATTTCCGCTGCGACAAACCAGGCTGAGGTGAGACCTCACGCTCGCGAGAGTCTTCGTGCCAGTGTGGAGTCGCGCGGTGACCTGACTGCCGCCCATCTCCACCGGCGCCGACAGTGTGGACGAGCACGAGGAGCTGGTGCTGTCGTCGCTCTCGATGCTCAACAACCTGACCTTCTACGCCACCGAGGAGAGCGTGGTGTTCGAACGCCAGGCCGAGGTCACGCACTGTGAGTGGGACTCAGCTGCGGGGGTTCCGCAGAAAGGCAGATCAGGGCCGGTGCCGGCGCCGGACCGCTCTGACCGGGGTCGGCGGAGGTGTCGGCAGGGTGAAGACGTCTCCGTCAGGCTGAGGAACAGCCATTGTCTCCAGCCTGTATGTAGCTAAGCCACTTCTACTAACCGTGCAATTTAGAAGAACGTTATACAGCTTTGATGCTCGAGCTGTACATATTTTGATGCATTTTAAATCAGTGTATATAATCATCGTGCTTGTGACGAGGCCCTGACAGTGTCGCGACAAGCAGGCAGCGCGCGGCAGTTGTAGCGACTGGTGGATGCACCCTCGCGCCACCTTTCTGGGTATGTGCGTGTTTGGTGTTCGAGGCATTGACGCTCCTGATACGCGCGTCCCGTGGAAGCACGTATCGCGTGCGACTCGGTGCCAGTTTGGCCGCCGCCAGCTATTTAGGGTTGTCGGGCGGCTGGTCCGGCCCAGATCGATCAGCAGGCGTCGCTGATCGATCGGCCGAACATCTCCACATATCGCACGCTCCCGGGCCGGGGCCAGTCAACCGCCTAGCTTATGCTATAGATATTGGAAATCGATAATCGACGCTGCATATTACCACCACGCTGAGGGGCTCTGTTCATTGCCAAGGTCGGCGGGGTCACCGCGTGTCCGTTCGCTTCTGCAGGCCTGTGCGGAATGCTGAGGCACGAGCACACCGAGTGTCAGATCGAGGTACTTCGAGTGTTTGGAAATCTCACCAGGTGGCCAGCCGTCAGGGAGGCTCTCGCCGACAGACAAGGTCAGGCGTGGGGACAAGCATAGGCCGTATTTTGCCCGGACGGAATCATGACCGGACACAGCTGGAGGCCTTCGATGGACGCAAAGGCGGTGGAGGGTCATGACGTCACGCGTGCGCCGCCACTCAAGGGCTGAACCGAGTGTCGTGTTCCGTCATGCGCTGCGAAACGCGCAGGCTGATGCGAGTCTCTTGTTTGGCACTTAAACTGATTGATTCCCGACCTCGTTGCGTGCTCCCTCACTGATTGGTGCGTGTTCCCGTCTGATGTGCTCTGATTGGTGCGAGACCACACCTTTTGTGGGTTGGTTAGACCCCGACCGTCGTGCTGTACGCTGATTGGTGACGCACGCGAACTGGCGCCCCTCGCTGTCCGCTGATTGGTGCGTGTCGGGTGTCGCCAGTGGTATCGCGGCTGGCCGGCCTGCTCGACTCGGACAACCGCGAGCTGGTGTACACCACCGTGGGCGTGCTGATCAACCTGATGACAGACCCCGGAAAGCGACAAGATTTTACCAGCTTCGGCGGCATCGACAAGTGAGGCTTGGCCGGACCAGGCTGGCCTTCAGAGCCACGTGGCGGCGCTGGCAGCGATGACCAACGACCATCCTCAGAGACCATTGTCAGCGCGACCGACATATGCACGACCGACATATGCAGAACGACACCCCCGAGACCATTGTCAGGGCAACCGACACATGCAGAACAACAGCCCCGAGACCATTGTCAGGGCAACCGACACATGCAGAACAACAGCCCCGAGACCATTGTCAGGGCAACCGACACATGCAGAACAACAGCCCCGAGACCATTGTCAGGGCAACCGACACATGCAGAACAACAGCCCCGAGACCATTGTCAGGGCAACCGACACATGCAGAACAACGGCCCCGAGACCATTGTCAGGGCAACCGACACATGCAGAACAACAGCCCCGAGACCATTGTCAGGGCAACCGACACATGCAGAACAACAGCCCCGAGACCATTGTCAGGGCAACCGACACATGCAGAACAACGGCCCCGAGACCATTGTCAGGGCAACCGACACATGCAGAACAACAGCCCCGAGACCATTGTCAGGGCAACCGACACATGCAGAACAACGGCCCCGAGACCATTGTCAGGGCAACCGACACATGCAGAACAACAGCCCCGAGACCATTGTCAGGGCAACCGACACATGCAGAACAACGGCCCCGAGACCATTGTCAGGGCAACCGACACATGCAGAACAACAGCCCCGAGACCATTGTCAGGGCAACCGACACATGCAGAACAACAGCCCCGAGACCATTGTCAGGGGGGCCGACATACTCAGGACTGCCTGTCCAAATTGTTGACGCGCTCGGACGGGGGTCAAATTGACCTCCCGAGGGGTTTTCCGGAATACTTTCCGAACAGAGCGGCCACGCCGCGCCAAATTTTGCATAACTGTAGACAATTGAATAGCAGATCGTGTGGTGTAAAGAAATTAGATGTAATTTGTAAGTTCGCTGACCTACGGCAGGTCAAAGTCGGCCCATGGATTCAGCGGTGAATTTCTAGGGAATCGTTTGATATGGTGGAACAACGGAGTGTTAAACGAAGCCAGACATCTCTGAGATACTTCCTTAGGCAGCACAACAAGTGAATGATCAAATTCCGTTGACGTAGGTCAGGTATGAAGGTCAAACTAAAGTCAAAACGAATCTGTTTTATTATTCTAGGGTTTGCTTTACGTGGCAGTTTCTGGTGCTTGTTTCGAATTGATTGATAGCAGGAATCGCATAAGACATGGTCTATGGACTTTTTAAAAGTCAGAATAGGTCACGGATCTAAAAAGACCCGGGTTAACATTTTGTTTTTAGGAACATACTGCCTAGCGTAATATTTGAAGCTCATTCAAATGCTAAACTCAAAGCAGTCTTTTCTGATTTGGGTTGCAATGATCTTCAAAAGGTCAAAAAGGTCACCGACCTTAAATGAGCACGTAACCTTTTGCTTAGAACAGGTATCTCGGTTATCCAGGTTCTGGGGACACTGGAGACCGACTTAGTGTTTGACCTTGCTTGGCCTTATTCGACCCTAAGGTCATGACGTAGGAACCCCGAACTTTAAGATATCGGGGAGGGGTCAAATTGACCCTCCCCCGACCGGAGGAAAGGGTATCCCACCGGCCACCTGGGCGCGTCTTAAGGCTTGGGGGGATTATCCAGGCGAATGACAGCTATCGCCGGGTGAGGAGTTGTGTGATTCTGTTAGGCGAACATCATTTGGGTTTGGACCAGGAACACATCAATATCTACCTCGGGGTAGAAATGTGGCGTTGTGGTGACCTGCTCACTGATGCCCAGGCGTCCGTTCTCCTACACTGGGAGCACGGACATCGAACCACGTGGAGATGATTGTCAAAATCATAGGCACCGCGAGCGGCAAAATGGAAGCCCTCCCGAAATGTGTGTATGGGGTGGGAGCGCGTCGGCCATTTTCGGCCATTTCTTTCCAGTCAGCGCCCAGTGGGCTAATGATGACTTTTCTTTAGAATATTGGGAGGTTACAGCCCGTTCTCCTTGCCTAACCCCGTTTCCTCAGCTTACCGTGTTCGTGCTCTGTAACGGTGTAGTCTCGGGGATTTTGTAGCGGTTTTCGCGGAAGTGCCGCGTTTCTCCTCACCCATGACGCGCACGACACCGGCGGTGGGTCGGCACCTCACTACAGGGAGTGTGGCGCCGGTCCTGCCGGCCGCCCCAGAACTGGACCATACTGGCCGCCGGGCGTATGTGCGGCCGGTCCGTCGGCCGGCGCCGCCCGGTGCCGGCCGTGAGCGGCGTCCGGCGCACCGTACACACCCAGCTGACGGGTGCGCCCGCTGCTGCGCCGCAGGCTGGTGCTGGTGCTGGAGGACTTCGGCTACAGCGACTGGCAGCTGGCGGCGCTCGTCTGCAAGGTGCTGTGGAACCTGGGCGCCGACACGGACGACGTGGGCCAGGTCTTCTCCGAGCAGCAGGCCGACCAGCTGGCGGTCGTGCTGGACGAGTACCTCGGTGGGTGTCGCTATGGGCCCGACGCGGCCGTGCCTGGCGCTGGTCTGTCTGGTGATGTCCATGTGTGGGCCGGGGCGCCGCCGTGGGTGTCGCTATGGGCCCGACGCGGCCGTGCCTGGCGCTGGTCTGTCTGGTGATGTCCATGTGTGGGCCGGGGCGCCGCCGTGGGTGTCGGTGTCGGCCAGACGCGGCCGTGCCTGGCGCTGGTCTGTCTGGTGATGTCCATGTGTGGGCCGGGGCGCCGCCGTCGGTGTCGGTGTCGGCTGTCTGGGACCGGGCCGGGCCGTCTTGGTGGCTGGCGCACCCGTGGACGTGCTGCGTCTCGCTGCGTCTGGGTCTGTGTGGAGCGCTGCCGGACGCGGTGTTGCGGATGCGCCCGCGATTTCTGGGCGTCGAGTTGTCGGGTTGTCTGGTGACTGACAAGCAGCGCTTGATCGTGTCAGAATCGATGTGACCGGTGCTTCCGTACAAGTCCGCAGACCCAGCCCACAGGCGAAGCCATATGCCTGTCAATCTGTACATGCCGAACGGAACCTGTCTTGGGCTCTACTTCAACGTGTTACGTTTTGGCCTGGCCCAGTTTGGGCTGGCGTTCAAAGCGTTTCGTTGCGCCTGTGAACGGCATCGCTTTCTGCGCCTAGTACTGTATATTGCTGGTGATCTGGTACTTCATAGGCACTCATACCGCGCCGCTGCTGGGAGGTCCCAATTTGACACTCATACCGCGGTGCTGCTGGGAGGTCCCAATTTGACACTCATGCCGCGGTGCTGCTGGGAGGTCCCAATTTGACACTCATACCGCGGTGCTGCTGGGAGGTCCCAATTTGACACTCATACCGCGGTGCTGCTGGGAGGTCCCAATTTGACACTCATACCGCGGCGCTGCTGGGAGGTCCCAATTTGACACTCATACCGCGGTGCTGCTGGGAGGTCCCAATTTGACACTCATACCGCGGTGCTGCTGGTAGGTCCCAGTTTGGTACTCATACCGCGGCGCTGCTGGGAGGTCCCAATTTGACACTCATACCGCGGCGCTGCTAGGAGGTTCCAATTTGACACTCACACCGCGGTGCTGCTGGGAGGTCCCAATTTGGTACCGATACCGCTCCGCTGCTGGGAGGTCCCAAACTGATGACGGAAGGAGAATTAGCCGTGCGGAGTGGACAGCGCCGCTCCACACATGACTGGCGTAAACGTCCTTGATCCATATCTAGCTAAACACACACTTTGTCGTTCGCTTACTACCGTACCCCAGTCGCGATTCAGCGCGTTATCTGACCACAGCATGCGAGCATCAATACAGGCTCGTAGGAGCCATGGAGGTGGGCTTTGCCCGCAGGTGCCTGGCGCCGTGCCGACCCCACGGCTTGCGCCGGCGCCGGCCGCGGGTCAGCTCCGCCTGGCGCCGGGCGCGGACTGTGCTGAGACAAGGAGCGACCGGCCGCCGCCGGCGTGTGCCCGCCTGACTGTATGGAGCGTGTCCGCAGATGACGAGGTGTGTTCCCGGAGACGGGGCTCACAGCCGAGGAGCAGCAGATCGCCACCATGCTGCGGCCCCTCTGGGAGGAGTTCGCCGACGTGGCCGCCAGCCTCCTGGAGAAGCTGGACGAGTCGCTGGACGCCGCCGCCGCCGCCGCCGCTGCGCCCACTGAGCACACCAAGACCGCCTAGACGACTCCTCCGCCACCAGCGCCGGCGCCGGCCGCAGACAGCGAGTCCCTCCGGTCGGGAACAGCACCGCGAGGTATAGGCGGCGCCACCAGCGGTCGGTGCTCTGCTAGGGGACGCGGCTGGGCCCTGGGGCGCCAGTGGCGGTGACGCGGTCCACTCGTCTGCTGCCAGGCGTGGCTGCACAGCTGCGGTGGTCACGCAGCGGCTGCGTCCGAGCGCCGGCGGGCAAGGGCTGCAGTGTCAATTCTTTGGGCCATGCTTCGGCCTCGGCGGGCTGCGGCCCTGCGTCGGGTGACATGTCGCGATCACCGTCTCGCTGCTGTGCCCGTTACGTGGCCGGCGACTGATCCTTGTTCTGTTTTGTATTTTTGCGCTCCGAGCTGGTGGTACCCCGCGTCGGCCGTCTGTCCGCGACCGTCAGCGGCACCAGAGTGACGCCAGTGTCGTCTGGTGGGCGCCGCCGCCGCCGCCGCGCTCTCGCGACGCCTTTAGCGCCGATGATCGAACTCGGCTGCCTTCACCCGGTGCCGAGCCTGCTGTTCGCCTGCCTGGCGCCGCTCCTGACTGTGTCTGCGGCGTGTGACGCCGCTCCTGACTGACTGTGTCTGTCAGCCGTGTCGGTCTCCTTCACCGCGTGACGAGACTTGTTTGGCAGCCTCGGTGGTGGCGTGGAGCCTCACTGGCAGCTCCCCGCCGACCGTTGGACCGGACGTGCGCAGGGCAGAGGGTGCCGCACCTTGTGGAGCGGCCGCGGCGCGCCGCGCCCAGCCCGGTTCCCCGAGGGCGCGGGTGTCGGAGCCTGCCTCGCGGCGGCGTGTTTGACTGTGATGACGTGTGATCAGGGGTGACCTTTGCCGCGAGCGAGCGTGGCGCCGTACTGTGGAGGCTGCGGCACCGGCCGCCGGGTGCAGCTCTGTCCTGTCACGCACCGCTCGCTGTTGCTGTCGGGCCGAGACGTGGCCTCCGGCGCCCGCCCGCCGTTTGCCGCCCTCGGGCCGCCCAGCCGCCCGAGGGCGCGCAGTCCGGCGGACGCCGTGTTCAAACAGCCCCCCAGCTCGCGGCGCACTGGCGGCTCAGCCGTGCCGGCGGAGCGTGCGGCGGCGCTTGTAGCGCGGTGTCGAGCACGATGCGTGTACTGTGTGCCTGTCGGTGGTGCTGGGAAGCTGTGCACCTCTCTTGGTTCTCCCGACGTCCTGGTCGAAATTCTCCGCTGACACGTTTTCCTCGGAATAAAGGACACCGTCGGCAATGGTTAATCAAGCGTTTATTTCCTTCCACAAAGCGAAATATTAACAACAGCCAACATACATAAAAGATGGAGAAGTTCAAAAATAAAAAAAATACTACCCACATGACATTCGAGGGAGAGCTGTTGAACGAAACAAAGGAAACAAAAGAACAACAATCCAGAACAGGGCAAGAACAGAGAAAGAGCTAGCTACGGATCCTCGGTGGAATTTCGAATTTGCTCTGTCGCTGGTCGCTGCTGCGGACGGTCGGCGCCGGCCGCGCGCCGATGGCTGGTCTTGCCGGCTTCTCCCGCGTCTAGTCAAGACTCTGCATGGCACTAACGGGATATCGTTACTTCTATACGCTTGGGGCAACTGAAAGTTATATGTATGGGTGGGAAGGGCCTGGGTTAAGGTGGAAGGAAATATATACGTTCATCTCCCTTACCCATACATGTAGCCTTGAGACAGTAAGGCCCCCAAGTCCTAGCTGTAAGGCATTTTCGTGTGCCGCATTATTTTTCCTATGTACAGTCGAACAGCACTCGCTCGAAGAATTGCTACGCACGGAAAATAAATACATCATCTCAAGTCAGCATGATCCCTACGGGTAAAACGCAATCGAAGTGAAGCAGGGCCCGACTAGCAGTTGCAGTATATCACGCTCTCCCCCGGGCAGTGCCACGCCCGTGTTATCGTGTGCTCTCGCCGGGGCGCCCTCTGCACTACCGGGTTAATGAAGATCGGGTTAGTCAATCGTGTCGACACGGCGTGCCCTCATTCGATCCGCTTTACGACGGCGCGGTACCAGGTACCCACGTCCGCGTGTGCCTGTCTGTCTCCCTGCCTGTGTGCGTGTAACGTCCTGTCGTGTGATGCGTGTGACGTGTGAACGCGCGCTTCGGGCGCCATCTGCGGCGCCAGCGTTCGCGTGCCTGGGTTAATCTTCACGTCTAGCACCCCTATGTATAAAATTGCTCATGATATTGCACGCCTAACCATTCGCACCACGACGCATTCACACGCAAATGTCTACCAACACAAAATAGAGAGAAGTCGAAGCCAGACGGCCGGACCGCCGCCGCCGCCGTCGCCGCCCTGCTCTGCCCCGCCTGGCCGTTGCGCACGCTCATCCGTCCTCACGCGGCCGCTGCCGCTGCTTCAGCTTCCGCCTGCCGTCGACAGGTGGCGGCGCGCTCACATTAGTCGTTGCTTGGCGCAGTCCGGGCAGAGGATGTCCGAGGCGTCTGTGATGAAGCCCTTGCCCACCAGCGAGTTGCTGCAGGTGGCGCAGATGAAGCAGTCGTTGTGCCAGTGGCGGTCCTCGAACGAGATGAACCGCGTGCCGCCGATGCCTGCGCGGCGAGAACGGCGAGTTAGGGCTCGTGCCTATGCTGCGGCACCGCCGCGCACCCGCCCACCAATGGCACAGCGGCGCACCGTAGTCAGCGGCGGCTCCGGTTAGACACGGGGCAGCTACGTCGGTCACGAATACCGATCCACTGGCCACCGGCCGCACGTGAACTACACGCATCTGGATGCAGCACAATTTACCATGGCAATGCTAAGAAGTCTCGCGGTAACCCACATTGCTCTGAACGCAACGAACGTATCGCAGCACCACGACAGCCCAGCCCAGCCTGCCGCCGCCGCCTGAGCAGCCTGGCATCCCCTGTGAGGGCCAGTGGTCCCCGAGGTCCAGCGGGGCAGCGGCCGGACGCCGCTCACCGGTGATGGGCCGGGTGCACGCAGTGCAGCGCTTGGCGAACAGCTCGCCGAAGCAGTCGGCGCAGTAGGGCTTCTCGTCGCGGCTGGTGAACCGCTGGCCGGCCAGGCTGGTGTTGCAGTTGGTGCAGGTGAAGCACTCGCGGTGCCACGGCTGCTGCTTGTACGTCACGCCACCCGTGGTGATGATCTGGCGGCGGGAGGGACGGTGTCAGCGACGAGGCGAGAATGAGCCGGCGCGCCGGCAGACATCCGGACGGCGGCCCGGCACACATGTCAGCAACATACTGAATTTGGACGCAGACTAGTCGCATTGATGATGGTCACCTTAGAGCGTCGATAGCTAGCTGGCACAGCGCATATGGTAATTAGAGTGGGGCGACATACACAATAAATGCTGACAACACACAACACGGCAGAGCGGTCGAGGCCGCCCGTACACGCTGCATAGTGTGGGCTCCCGGCTGACAATCGGGCAGCTAATAAGTCCCGTTAAAAACAAAGCTTTCCCTCAGGGAACACAGTGGCAGAAAGCCCGAGGCGCTGGACGGGCCGAGAGCTCGTCCGGGGTCTCGCATCAGGTCCCCAGTGGGCGGACGCGCCGGGTGAGGCCGCGGGCGCCAGGCGGCCCGGCGCCGACGCCCACCTTGTCGCACTTGATGCAGCGCGTGGCGAACTTCTCCTCGTAGCAGCCGGTGCAGTAGATCTCCTGCTCACGCGGGATGAACGACTTGGTGCCGATCGGGGTCTGGCACACGCAGCAGGCGAAGCACTTCTCGTGCCACTGCCGGGTCTTATACTCCATCTTCTTCGTGCCTGAAGAGCAGGGCGGTACACGGTCAACGGCCGGAGGCGCGGAGTGACGAATCACGCCAAAGGACTACGTTCGGGACAAGACGGGGCTGGGGACGCCAGATCGCGTGGACTGGCTCGAGCTGATGAGATGGTGACGGGGCTCTGGTGTCGCATCGTGAGTTGCACGAGGCCAGCCGCCATCGGGCGTTGGAGCGACGAGTGTCCAGGGACAGACGTCCGGCACCCGACCGGTTCCATGCATCCCAATCGGACCCGGACGCGGTCAAACACCTAACAACAAAACACATAAAACACTGACAAACACCAGCGACCCCAACATCCGTTTTTGCGCGATGACATAACGAGCTGGCAATGCTGTCCGCTCAGCAGGCTCGCCGGCGTGCTCCTCGGTAAACACGGCGATGGCATACACGGCGCGCGCCATCGCCAAATCTCGGGCCGCACCGTCAACAGAGCCCGGCGGAGGCCGCGTCGGCTGATCGATGGCCCGCTCGCCGCCGCGCCGGCCCCGCTCGTAAACACGCCACCGTGACGTCGACAGGCCGTCGCGCGCGGCCCGCCGCCGCTGGCCGCCGCCGCGCGGCCGCTTCCGCGCTCCGGATGGCAAGCGGCATGCGAGCGTCGCTCCCGCCGCCGCTGGCCGCCGTCGCGTCACCGACCCCTGTCAGCGAGCGTCGCTCCCGACGCCGCTGGCCGCCGTCGCGTCACCGACCCCCGGGGCCCCTGGCGGCGAGCGTCGCTCCCGCCGCCACTGGCCGCCGTCGCGTCACCGACCCCCGGGGCCCCTGGCGGCGAGCGTCGCTCCCGCCGCCACTGGCCGCCGTCGCGTCACCGACCCCCGGGGCCCCTGGCGGCGAGCGGTGGCACCGAGGCAGGATCACGTGCGGGTGAGGCCACCGGGCTGCAGGTGCCGGCAGAGCTGACGAGGCCGCAGCGGCGCCGGCGAGACGGCCGGCGTCCGAGAAAAGCCCGGTTTACGCGGCGGGACGAGAGCCACCCGGCGGTGGCCAAACCTTGCAGCCACGGCGCGCTGGCGACCGACAGCGGGTGCTGCGTCAGGGCTCGCCCGGTGAACAAAGGGCCTGGACGGAGGAGCGGCGCAGGGGAGGGGAGCTCATTCCACCAACAATGGCCCGCCGGGCGAGCGGTCGAACAACCAACCGCGAGCTCGCCGCCAGTTCAAATAACGCCAGCTATTGTAGCGGTAGCTCCTCGCAGGCGCCGTTCGGCACGCCTCGATATAGACAGAGGGAGCCCCTGTGGATGCTTGAGGCAAATAACATGACGCGTGCCAGGCCATGCGATGACTGCCAATGACTGCTGGTAGGCGACAGGGAGCCCGGCCGACCGCTCCTCCCACCGCTGCGGCCAACCACGGCCCGTTCGTCTGCACCGCGGCGGACCAACCCACAGCCCGTGTTGTCGTCGGGGTCGTGTCGGCCGTCCCCGGTCGCTCTGTATGCAGCGCCGCCCGGCCCGCCCGTCCAGACGGCATCCCAGGGGCGGGCCGCTCTGGCATTCACCGGCCGCAGACGCCGATATGTAAAACGCGTCCACAATTGTTGTTCCGATCGGCACGGTCTGTTTTTGCAGCCGATGCCTCTGCGAGCTGTGGACGACCAGAAATAATCTCCAGCACCTCTAGGAGAGACGTTTATGCCGTACAGAACCCACTCAAAACATGCCGCCAGCGGTTTCGCTGTGTGAGCGGTTTAGGGGCAACCTTTCCTTTCTGTGAGCAGGACTCGTCCTGTTCTGGAAATGGCTTGGTAATTTTTCAACAGCTTTCGACGCGACGGCGAGAGGCATTCAGCTCACCGGTGGGCTGACAACGGAGCTTCCAATGCATTCATCCCCAGGGGAACCAACCGCCGACAACACGCATTTCGGGGAGAGAGAGAAACGGCAACCTTCACCCGCGACGAACGCGTGCTGTGGTTTTACGCGCGTATCTCGCCGACGTCCGGATAAACGTCGGATCCGAGTAAAGGTCGGATCGCTCGTGCTCCGACCAGCGTGGCTGTTCCACCAAGCTCGTGTTGCGCCGCGGCCCGCGACTGCAGCTGCGCCACGACACGGCACCGCGCCGCGCCAGACTCTGAACAAACGACTGCGCCCGCCTGTGTGCGGCGCTTCAATCAGTGCCCGCCCTGAGCAAACCGGCGCCGGAGCGTTCCAATCAGGAGCCCGCAGGCGACCGGCCCGAATCGATCGAACTGCCGCAGCCAAACACGGTGGGTGACGATATGAACAGCACGAGGGAGGTCGGCCGGTCAGATCACAGGAGCGGACCGCCGTCAAGGGGAACGCGCGCCGCCTGCTGAGCCGGCGTGGCGGACCGCGGCCTGGAAGGAGAGCGGAGGTGCGGTCCTGACGCGCTCCGAGCCTGACCTGTCGCGGTCGGCCAGGTCGCACCCTGGCCTCCGCTCAGATGCGGCGGGCCAGTATCACAAGCCGGCGGTAAGCGCCGCTTGAATGTTGACTCTTCCGTCAGACACATCACGAGCGTGACGACCAGCACTTCATCCGGCCGACCTCGCCGTCACAGAGCGGCGGGCCGCGCCGCCGGGGGGCGTTTGTCCTCTCCACCCCTCGCTGGCCCCACCGAGCCTGTGCCAAATCGACACCGGCCACCAGTTCGCGGCCGACACTTCCCCTCCCCTGCACGCGCCGTCTGGCCTCCGGATCACGGCAGGATCCCGCACCGCCCGACGCCCGCCATCACTCGCGGGTGATCGTGAGTCGCAGCCACCCAGACCCCGGCGGGCATCAGACCCAGCAGACGGATCACGCTTCAGGTGTGGCGATCACCACCAAGACAAGGCAGTCACGGCAGCGAGGCCGTGACACAGACACGTGACGGGGGAAGCCTAGGAGAGATGCAGTGCTACCGATGGCGACATAGAGCTCTGCGAGCAAGTCCCGAGTCATGCAGCCCCGCTAGTCTGCGGTGTTGGGAGGGGATGGCGCTCGCGGGCAGACCGGCTGGTCTCGGTCGGCAGACGGCGAACGAGCCGCGGAGTGCTGAGCGCGTGACGCAACAGCCGTGGGCGCTGACCGAGGCGAACAAGCTGTCGAAGCACCAGGGGATGAGTCCATTCTCAGCAGCCACAGCGGTCCGTTAGCGCGCCGCACCCTCCGCCTGCGGCGCCTGGTGCCGTCAGCTGCAGCCCCCTCCCGGACGGAGCGACATTTGACGACCCTGACGGGAGCACGGACACCGGCCGGGCCGGACCGTCGTAGTCCGGCGCGCCGCCCGCCTGCGCGCTCTGTTAACCCCGGTGTGTACCGCCCGCCTGACAGCCTGTAACTCTCCGGCCGAGGGCGAAGACCGGGTGACATCATGGATGAGCTCACCACCTCGGAATGCATGGGCTCCTGGCCCGGGCGACCCACAAAAACCCGTGGCCGGTCGTCCCCCCTTTGGCCGCCCTCCACCGGGTCACCTGAGGTCCCGCCGCCCAGACGGCCCCGCACCTGTCGTGGCGTGGAATGGTGTCGGGGCGAGACCGCACACACCTGTTGCCGACGGGCATCAGAAGAGCTGCAAACGTTCACGGGGAAACCTGGCAACGTTCGCTGGCTCCTAGCTACTGTTATACAAACAGCGCATGCACCACTACCGCCTGTGACGAACGGAGGCCGTCAGTCTGAGGAAGTTGAGTCAGGCCCCATGCCACATCCTCGCCCAAGCGTTTCAATGTTGACATTCCACTCCAAAAATTGAGCTCCCAGATCGGCCTCGGGGGAGACCGGGAGCAGTCGCGGTCCACCTCGGCAGCCGCGGCCGCGCGCACCGCCGCCCGACCGCCCGGCACGCCCCGCGGCAACACAGCCGACCTTGAGAGCCAGCGCAGATGTTTTGACGGCGACGGCGCCGTCAAAATCGGTGCGTCACCGCCGCCGGCTCGGCAGGGCCGGGGACTGAGGGTGACCCACCCCGGGGCGCTGTGAGCGCCTGACGCGTCTCGCACGGAGCACGGCACCGGGTGCAGCCCACCGATTGTTTGGGTTATGCGGTGCCAGATCCGACAGCAAACATGTACTGAGACGGCTATTTCATAACATTAAAAATATCGCGTCTTGATCAGGAATGCTGGGATTCAATCCGGGATACACACAACAAGCACCCGGTCAGCCGCACGGTGAGCTGCGGGCGCTTCGTCGCAACGGGAGCCGAGTGCGCCGCACCGCGACGGCCGGCCAGCGGGCCGCCGGGCGGCCGGGCGGTCGGGCCCTGATAGCGGGGCGATGGGCCGTGATGGCGTCTGTTCGTCCCGCCGATCAAGGGTGTTGCACGGCTCGGCGTTAAGCCCGGTCGGCCGGTACCTGAGGGCGGCCCGCGCGCCTGCCGGCTGGGCGGGCCATCGACCGCCGCCCTCCATTATTAACGGCCGACTCACGTGGTGTCGGGCGGACCGCGCCGGGCGCGCGTCGGCCGGGAGCCTCACAGCCGCGAGCTGACGGCTTGCCGGCGGCCGCCCGGTTCGCAGGAGCGTCAACCGGCGCTCGGGCGCGGCAGCCGCGGACCCTGGGAGAGATCTGAACGGCCCTGCGCGGCGGCCGCAGTGTGGGGGGACCCGGCGACGGACCGAGTGCGTCGGCACGCGCCGGGTAATGGTCCGACCGTCAGAACGTGCCTAGCCGACCGGGTGCAGCACCGGTGCGCAGGTGGCACACTCAGCGTAGCCCTGCCGCCGGAGGTTCAGGGCCGCTCGCGTTCTCAGCCCGCTCGGTCTGACTCACGCCGTCCGCCGCGACGCCTCCGGAGCCACCGGCAGCGACGCCTCGCGCGCCTCACAGCGTTACGTCGCCGGTTTGTCGCGCGCCGGGGGGTCGTGTCAGGGCGCGCCGCCGCCGCGCGACGACAAATATGGCGTGGAACGCGGCGACAGCGCGGCAAGCGGCGAGGCCGCAGACAGACGGCCGGCGGGAGGTGGGGGCCGGGCGAGGCGGGCGGCCCTCCGCCCAGCTGGGGCGGTGGAGGCGGCAGTGACGGC